AGGGAAAGTTTCCTACAACGGGGGAAGAAACAAAGCAGTTCTGTCACGGAACCTTTGGCAGAGAATTGGCGAGTGCGTCCAGGAAATTTCCCTAGAGATCTCTCTGGAGGATTCCCGTGACATCTCAGGGTGCTTTAACACGCTGTTGTGACGCACTGCTTAGCTGCACAAGGGTATGTGGAGCACACTCAAACACAGCTTGTCTTGCATATTTCTATCCCTCCCCTGACTTCTAGAATACAGAGCAACAGAAAGCTGCACCTCGTATAACTGAGCAGCATCAGCTCAAAGAGATCACTTACCAGAGCACCCCTCTTCTGCACCATATGGAAAAGAGGTTCTGACTCACCACTGGGCGACCCTACCGTGTGCTCTATATTGTCCTCCAACTCATCCTCCTTGGCCATGACGATCTTCGCCAAGCACTGCACCGTGTCCTGTTCATTGCTCTTTTCTAACAAGCCACGAGCATTTTGCCCAGAGGTGTCGAAGTTCCTACGGCTGGAACAGCGCTGGCCCGGCCCAGCCGCCTCTCCCCACAGACCCAGCAGATCCAACCACTCATCTGTGCTTCAAGCGGAAGAGCATTTGTTGCGTGGAGCTGCCATGGTCAGCAGGGCAGATGCGATGTGAACTCTACACCCCGAGCAAACAGGAAGTGGAATTTTAAAATTTCCCCGGCCTTTAAAGAGGGAGGGACAGATGCTTGTATACCTGGATGCAGGACAGTGGAGTTGAAACTGTTGGTCAGGATGGGCATTGTGGGACACCTGCTGGAGACAATCAACAGCGACAAAAGTCCAGCCTGACGCTTTGTCAATATGACTTTGCCGCAAAAAGCTCTACACCTCTCGTCGAGGTGGTTTTATTTTGTCGGCAAAGCAGGAGAGTTTTGCCAGCGGGAGGAGCATCGTAGTGTGTAAACCTGCACTGTTTGGTCGGCAAAAGCTGCCTTTTGCCGACAAAGCTCTGTAGTGTAGACAAGGCCCAGATTGGTGCAAAGGTAGACAATTGAGCAATACATCACGTAATGGGCTAGCAAGCGTGGGATGATAATTCCCTCCCACTGGAATGGGCCGCCACCACTGAGACCTATGATTGGGGTGACGTTCACTCCAAGACAATACCGGCATAATTTCCCCATATTTATATTATTCCTTAAATATGACTCATCCACACGTCTTGCAGTGATGACGAGTACCCATAATTTACAAGCCTTCAGGAGAGGCCTCACATGCTACCCTTCCTGGACAAATATCATGGAAGTAGTGTATTAGGTGTGGTGAGTTTGTCAGGTCCGAGACAGGAGTCGCTTGTGAAGAACAGTGACCCCTTTGCCAATTGGCACCAGTGGGCTTCTGTCACACACACACACACACACACACACACACACACACACACACCCCTACACTGTCACAGCCTGATATAATAGACAGGCCAGGACATCTCCTAGTTAATAAAAACAAAACAATTGAGACAGGAACAATGAGATCCCAAAATGGCAATGGTTGGAACGCTCCATTTCTCTCGGTCTTTGCATTCATGGGCACTACGAGCTGTAGCTACATCTGATGAACCAGGCGATCGGGTAGCTGGCTCAGCCCTCCATACTAGCAGCTTCTTTCCCAGAGGGGATCAATCTCTCTAAGGCCTGAGGGTTAAATGGCCGTGCTCCACCAGCTGCCCTCCTCAAAAGGAAAAGAGGTGTCAGCTCCGATAACAAGAACTGGTAGCAAAAATATGTAACAGCAAAATTGCATCATGCGCCCACCATCATTCTTAAAAATAAATGGAGACATCCTATGACAGGTGTCCTGTCTTTCCTTGGCAAATAAGAGAAGCGGGGAAGTCAGTGACTCTTACAGTCTAACTGGGTAAAAGGTTATACACCTGGTCTCCTTGACTAGTTTTCCTTTTAATAGAAATGGACTTTGAAGCTCATCAAAAGAAGTTCCATTTGAAATACAAAAAATGAAAATCTATACTGGGCCAACAGTCTCTTCTAGACTATTTCCCACACACATTCTCCCAGCCTAACCATTGGCGTGAGGTTTTCTATCAGAACTCCTGAGGCAAAAGGGAGTCTATTACATCCAATAAACTTTTCAGGCTTAGCCACCGTTCTCCGCATGACTACCAAAACAAAACACAAGACAACTTTCCGTTTTCCAATATAATTAAGGGGATCACACCTGGTTAACACGCAGGTAGCATGATTCCGGGACAAGAAACTTCTCTTCTGGTCAGATCAATTGGTGACCCCTATAACCATAATATACAACTCTCGAAAATCAGGTAACATATTCAAAGATCACAAAACCTTGTCATACGTGTTAGTTTTCATTTAATCATCACAGTCACTAAGTGAACCTTTGAGTCAAGTTGTGGTTTGAGGTGCCTCCCACTTATGTGAGTTCACATATCTCCAGAACTTCTGCCATGTGTGTCGGTGGAAGGGGTCTTCTCTGTGGGAATATTTGCATTGTGAGAAAAAACTCCTTCCTTGTACTTTCACACTTTTTCATCTTTCAAAGTAGGAGGACGTAGAGGAGAAGGGATGCAAATGCACAAAACACAAGAGCAAAACCACAATCTGGTCTACGCTACAGTCCTATATCGGTATAACGGCATTGCTTAGGTGTGTGAAAAATCCATGCCCCTGAGCGGCTTCGTTATACTGACCTAACACCCCATATAGACAGCGCCGTGTGGGCAGGAAAGTGTCTCCTGCTGACATAGCTACCACCGCTTGGGGAGGTGGAGTCACTGAGCAGATGGGAGCACTATCATTTGAGAGTTTCTTCCTTACAGATGCAGCATTTTAAGTGTAGTAGACAAGCCCTGAGACAAAACCAGAGAATCAGGACTCAACATGCGTGTACCCCGCCGTCTGATATTGGAGCTCGACACGTTCATTCCCTCACTGGTTACTATTATTTCCACTGCATGAAAGTCCTTGTTACCCACTCAGGCAGCCAGTCTGGGATCCACGGGGAAGGAATGTCCTCTAAAGAACTCTCTTTCTCTCTCTGCCTTATGAAACTTTGGAGCCAAACAGTGAAGGATGATTGTGCTCAATCTAACCATGGCATCCTTTGGGACTGTAATCAGGGACACTGAGCTAGGGAGTGGTGTTCTACAATTTTCCTTGGGCGGTTGGTCACCATAGCTACCTTTATTGGGGTGAAAGCCAAGAACCGGGTGTGTACTATTTCTACCCCCCTTCTTTCTAAATCCTGGGCCTGGGTTAGGGTAAATTGACACGTCTCTGAAGTAGAATCCTTTACCAAACCAGCAGTGTTAGTGCGGAATGGCTTCCCCAAACATGCCCAAATTTTCTTTAATGCGGTGGCACGGGTCTAGGCTAGGAACTAGATACGGGCCTGGATCAGAATCTCTGTATGTTACCAGAAGTGACGTTTCTATTCAAAAATGGCTATTTTTCTGCAGCTATTACATTTTATACATATTTGTGGCTCCTTCAACAAAAAACCCACTTCTATTCCTTCCACACACTGCATCGTGAAGGGCAGCATTTCCCATATCATAGGATGCTAGGAGAGATCTTCTGTAGGGCCTGGGTTACAAATGCTCTGGGTACTGAATACAGGGGCATTTTGCCTAGCTCCAACTCACTTACGGTGGAATTGTCTCCCCAGATCATCTGAGACGATATTGACTTAAACAATGTGATCATCTGCACTTCCTTCAGTTCAGTCTGCTGTTGTTCACCATTTCCGAGTGGAGATTTTAAATCACTGCTGTTTCTTTGTTAGCATGTCCAGTAAATTGGAGAGTTCTCTCCTGTTGACAGAACTGCACTTGAACTTTCTCCACGTCATCATGGAGGGGTGGGGAAAAAGCAACGCTGAAGTGAGAAGTAATGACTTTAGCAAATGGTCATTTGTCTCAAAGTCTCCAATAAATCTGAGCTCTATCCTGTCAAACTAAACTAATATCCAGTTGGGCGACCAAACATTCTTCAGGAGAGATAGAAACCCACATCACAGAGAGATAGAATACATGACAATAAAAGTGTCAAGGGTAAAATCCAGAGCCGGTTACATCTAATAACTCAGAATCAAGACAAGATTCTCCCATGACATTCTCCTCTGATCCATTCAAACCTGCTTCATTAAGTACTGTCTCATTTTTTGAGTTAAATTATATACAAAAGTTTTAGCATCCTCACAAGGGGGGGGGGGGGGAAACAGCCACCTTGCCAGAAGTGGCTTTGCCAATTGATGGAACCTAGGATTTAAACTCCAAATGATCACAATGTGTTTGGGATCCATTTGAATTCCCCTTCCAGGTCTTTGACACTTTCCTCTCCAGTCATAGTGACTCCGATATAGGATTAAAGAAGTCAAAGCATCATCTCCAAACACAAACACTGCATCACATGACTCTCTGAGAGGTTGAGGGACTGAATGTGATGAAGATACCTCCTGTCTGAGCCAGGCAGAGTTTAACAGTTCTGCAGTGATGGGGAAGGAAGGAATCTCTGAGTTACCCCATCTCCTTCCTGTGTCGCAGAGGTTGAAATGACACTTTTCCCCCTGCACCGCCTGCTTTTCACTATATTTAAAAATATTTAAAATGAAAATAAAAACAATGTCCAAAAATAACTGCTCTTCAGCACAACCCAGAGCAATCTGTATCATTGGAGACTCTAACAGTACCTTTGCAATAGGAGGAACGGTATAAATGCGATGCTCCCTGGTTCCTGGAAGGAGGGACGCACTCCCATTACTCGTGGGACAATGGAGTTGATAGAAAAGACAATTGGAACCACCTCAAAACAGGGCAAACGGCAAAAAGCAAAAATGGGCAACTCATCTGGACAAGCTGAGGGATAACAGTGATGCAAATGGTTCAAACAGCCTTAAAGGTTACTACGTGGGAATTAGCACAAGAAAAAAAAATGTTTCGGTAGCCCTAAAGTTTTTTATGGTGTTTCTCTCCCTTGCAGAGTCTCTGATGAGAGATAAAGGCGGAGCTCCGAGTGAAGGTTTTCCCGCACTCACAGCATTTGTAGGGTTTGTCTCCTGCGTGGATTCTCCGATGTTTAAGAAGGGCCGAGCTCTCCGTGAAGCTTTTCCCGCACTCACATTGATAGAGCCTTTCCGCTGTGTGGATTCTCTGATGCGTTATAAGGTTTGAGCTGTGAGTGAATCTTTTCCCGCACTCACTGCATTCATAGGGTTTCTCACCTGTGTGAATTCTCTGATGTGTAATGAGGTTTGAGCTCCGAGTGAAGGTTTTCCCGCACTCAAAGCATACGTAGGGTCTCTCTCCGGTGTGGATTCGCTGATGATTGAGAAAGGCGGAGCGGTCAGTGAAATTTGTCCCACACTCACAGCATTCATAGGGTCTCTCACCCTTGTGCATTCTCTGATGTGTAGCAAGTTCTGAGCTCTGAGTGAAGCTTTTCCCACACTCGCAACATTGGTATGGCCTCTCCCCTGTGTGGATTCTCTGATGCTGAATAAGGTTTGAACTGGCAGTGAAGCTTTTCCCGCACTCACAGCATTCATAGGGTTTCTCACCTGTGTGGATTCTCTGATGCGTAATCAGGTGTGACCGTCGAATGAAGCTTTTCCCGCACTCACAGCATACATAGGGTCTCTCCCCCGTATGGATTCTCTGATGTGTAGTAAGGTCTGAGCTCTGAGTGAAACTTTTCCCACACTCGCTGCATTCATAGGGCCTCTCCCCTGTGTGGATCCTCTGATGCTGAATAAGGTTTGAGCTGGCAGTGAAGCTTTTCCCACACTCACAGCATTCATAGGGCCTCTCCCCTGTGTGGATTCTCTTATGCGTAATCAGGTGCGACCGTCGAATGAAGCTTTTCTTACACTCACGGCATTCATAGGGTCTCTCCCCCGTATGGATTCTCTGATGGGTAGTAAGGTCTGAGCTCTGAGTGAAGTTTTTCCCACACTCGCCGCACTCATAAGGTTTCTCACCTGTGTGGATTCTGTGATGTGCAATAAGGTTTGAGTTCGGAGTGAAGGTTTTCCCACCCTCGCGGTACTCATAGCGTTTCGCTCTGGTGTGGATTCTCTGATGCGTAATAAGGTGCGAGTGCCAAATGAAGGTTTTCCCGCACTCACAGCATTCAAAGGGTCTCTCTGCTCTGTGTGTTCTCCGATGTTTAGTAAGGGTTGAGCAGTGACTAAAGTTTTTCCCACACTCGGGGCAGGTATTTTTTTTCGTTCTCCTGAGGATTTTCTGCTGGGCTGTGGTTTCCTTGAGGTCCTTGTGAGTTCCCTGAGAGCAAATGAATTTATCCAATTTCTCCCCTGGCTGGTTTCCCTGCTCTCTCTCTGCTCTGTGCTGAATCTCACAGGATTGTCCCTCCTCATGACTCCTGGACACATCCCCTTCGGATCTCTGCGATAATGCTCCATGTGATTCCACTTGCGCAGCATCTTCCTGCTGAGACTTCTGCACCTCATTCTCACTCACCATCGCCTCACCTGAGGGGACAGAGAGAGAAACCTCAAACAGGGTTGGAAAAGGGAAGAGCAAACCAAAATAAGTGCTGGAGAGATGTCAAATAAAAACCAGGAACTGAACTCCCCCAAACTCTTCCCCCAAAGGGAATCAATTCGGCTTTCACATCCCATCTAAATACTCAGTGGGAAGGGAAGAAGCTACTGACAGGTGTCAGTTAGGAGCTGTAGGAAGCCATGAGCGACATCTTCCCTGGGGATAGGACACCTGCTGGGGACAATCCTGAACCCAGAGAGCTCCCAAGGTCTTTGTAGAGGATCCCAGATGTTTCCTTCAGGCACTTTCAGACTCTGAGTAGGTTTCACGTTTCCTCACCTGTGCAGGGACGTCTTAGGATTTCTCTTTCCCCTGAACCCTGGAGGTCTGGGATCCACGGCTCTTCCCCCTGTTCCAGCTGGGAGATCACATCAGGTCTGGAAACGGGAAACCCTGCTCAGATGAAAGAAAACAAATGAGATCAGGTGAATTCCTAAGACGCTGTCATTAATTTTTTTTTATTAATTAAGCCCCAGTCCTTAGTAACCAATAAAGTCCAGATCCAGCTCCCCAGGTCCTCAAAGGTGCAGAACACTTTGCTTATGAGGGACATATCTGCTGGGAACACGCACAGACTAAAGGCCTAGAACACATGACCTACGAGGGAAGATTGAAAAAAAAATGGGTTTGTTTAGTCTGGAGAAGAGAAGACTGAGTGGGGACATAACAGTTTTCAAGTACATAAAAGGTTGTTAGATAATAAGCCAGAAAATATCATATTGCCGCTATATAAATCCATGGTACGCCCACATCTTGAATATTGTATGCAGTTCTGGTTGCCCCATCTCAAAAAAGGTATATTGGAATTGGAAAAGGTTATGATAGAGGTCTATAAAATCATGACTCGTGTGGAGAAAGTAAATAAGGAAATGTTATTTATTCCTTCTCATAACACAAGAACTAGGAGTTACCAAATGAAATTAATAGGCTGCAGGTTTCAAACAAACAAAAAGGAAGTATTTTTTCCACACAACACATAGTTAACCTGTGGAACTCCTTGCCAGAGGATGTTGTGAAGGCCAAGAATATAACAGGGCTCAAAAAAGAACTAGATAAGTTCATGGAGGACAGGTCCATCAATGGCTATTAGCCGGGATGGGCAGGGATGGTGTCCCTGGCCTCAGTTTGCCAGAAGCTCTAAATGGGCGACAGGGGATGGATCACTTGATGATTCCCTGTTATGTTCATTCCCTCTGGGGCACCTGGCATTGGCCGCTGTCAGAAGACAGGATACTGGGCTAGAGGGACCTTTGGTCTGACGTAGTATGGCCGTTCTTATGTTACAAAGAGGAGGGAGAAAAAATTGTTCTCCTTAACTACTGAGGAGAGGACAAATTGCAGCAAAGGAGGTTCAGGTTGGACATTAGGAAAAACTTCCTAGCTGTCAGAGTGGTTAAGCACTGGAGTAAATTGCCCAGGGAAGTGGTGGAGTCTCCATCATTGGAGATTTTTAAGAGCAGGTTGGACAAACACCTGTCAGGGAAGGTCTAGATAATACTTAGTCCTGCCATGAGTGCAGGGGACTGGACTAGACGACCTCTCGAGGTCCCTTCCAGTCCTACGATTCTGTGATCAGCCTCCAAGTGACCAATGGTTTGCCCCTGTCAGTTAGCAAGTATTGTAAGTGCATGTTACTTGCTCAGGTGACCCTGGACTCCATCTTGTGCCAGTAATTTTCTCCATTCTTAGACTGAGGGACAGTAGAATCCCATCCACACGGGAGAGGGGATAAAAGACTGTGGAAACATCTCCATTTTGTCTTCTTTTCCTGTTTCATTTCTTGGGACTGGATTTCTAACAAGGAAGCTTTAAACAAGGACCAATGACCCCCAAGTTGTTTGGGTAATTTCCAGAGACGCCTTTTGCAAGACATTTACTTTTGTTACTGCCTTGGTACATCTAATGGTAGAATAACCATCCGCTTGGTGAGGAGTCTGCCCTATTTCTCAGCAGTTTGTCCTGAATCTGGTATTCTCAGCTGGAACCCACTGAGTCATGGTGACAACAGGATCTCAACAGTACTAGATGTCAGGACAGCACCTATTGCAGAATTAGGGAATCTAGTGTGTCCAGTGTAATGGGAGGGAGTATGAAAATCTCTGGGTGTGGAGAACACTGGGAAATTAGCCGCTATAATTCAGGAGAAACAGACTCTAATTCCTCTGGACAAGCAGAATGTGAAAAATAAGAATCAGGCCAGGTGACTTCAGGAATGATGGCGCCCAAGATCCAAGGCGCCTGCAGAGAACAGAGATTGTGGCTATTGCAGATGGGGTTGGGGGAGCAGGACTCTCGAGATGTTTCACTACCAACCTAGGCCATTTTCACATCCTGGGGGGCAATCCAGACCCGTGAGGAGTTGTGTCATCTGTCATCCTGGGTGACTTTCAATGTTCTGCTGCTGGAGCTCCCTTGTCTGGATGCTCCCAGCCAGGATTCAAGGATGCACTGAGTGTCTGTGAGATAAATAACCCTGGATCAGCAGCTCTGACTCCAGCAGCCTGCTTGTTACACCTCAGGCACATTCTAGCTACACCAGCCTTGAATACACTTGGCAAGAGTCAGCAACAGCTGAATTTTCCCAAAGCCATGTGCTCTGCAATGGCTACTTTTTCCTGAACCGTTCAGAGGAATAATAAGGATTCTTTGCTGATCAAGAGAGACAAATGGTACAACTTACTACTTTAACTAGAGTTAACTGTCAACATAAGAAAGTAAGAACGGCCCTACTGGGTCAGACCAAAGGTCCATCTAGTCCAGTATCCTGTCTTCTGACAGTGGCCAATGCCAGGTGCCCCAGAGGGAATGAACAGAACAGGTAATCATCAAATGATCCATCCCCTGTCACCCATTCCCAGCTTCTGGGAAACAAACAAAAGGAAATATTTCTTCAAACAACACATAATCAACCTGTGGAACTCCTTGCCAGAGGATGTTGTGAAGACCAAGACTATAACAGGATTCAAAAAAGAACATGATAAATTCATGGAGGATAGGTCCATCAATGGCTATTAGTCAGGATGGGCAGGGATGGTGTCTCTCACTTCTGTTAGCCAGAAGCTGGGAATGGGTGACGGGATGGATCACTTGATGAAAACCTGTCTATTCATTCCCTCTGGGGCACCTGCCATTGGAAGACAGGACACTGGGCTAGATGGACCTTTGGTCTGACCCAGTCTGGCCGCTCTTATGAGACACACCAGGAAGGGGACAGGGTCCCTGATTTTGACACCCACTCCCCTTCCACCCACTGCTCTCAACCACTCTGCCCTCATCCCACTGCCCCTGGAGCACCCTCTCCTTGTGATCTCCCCTCCATTCCCATTGCCCGCAGCCTTCCTCACTACAGGCTCCCGCAAATTTCCCACAGCCCAACCATTTTCCATCTCACCTTCCCACTGCCCCAAGTCGTCTTTGCTTCAAACTCCCAAGAACTCCTGTTCCCTCCCTCCCATTGCTAGTTCCCCCATTTCTTGCGGCAAACATTACCTAGCCCCCACCTCCCCTTTACTCCCCCCTCCAACTCCTCGGCATCCCAACTCCTTCCCAGATCTTCCAGCCCCCCACTACCCCCAGACGTCCCAGTGCACAGGAACTCTTCACCCCAAACCTACTCCCCACCAGCCTACCACTGCCTGGACACTCTCCTACTCTCTCTCTCCCACTGCTTGGGCCTGCCAATGATTGTTATTTGTTATTTGTATTACTGTAATGCTCATCTTCTCAGTCGTTGGCCAGGATCCTGTTAGTACCAGTTATTAACTATTAAGACTTTTAGTTCAACAAAGAGTCTCTCTGAATTCTAAGGCCCAGAACACCGGCCCTTGACCGATAAGTGACCCGATTCAGGAATGTTCTCGATTATGCTATATTTTAACCGTCTCAAACACCTTCCATGTCTATACAACTGCAGATCTGCTTGGAAACCCTCTCTTTAACATAGATCTATAACGCTGGCATAAGCACATATAGACTTGGGAAACTAATAAGGGATGAATGTTACAGCAGATGTTCCCTGTTGGGGAATCAACAGGGAAGAATGACTGTGGGGTAAGAAGGACCCACAGAGAGATTATCTTGAAGAATTGTTAGTTCTCCCAGCCGTAAATAATCATGCCTTCACACATAAACCAGGTAAACGGAGAATGTACAGAAATGACACCAAAACATATGTTTCTGGGAGAATATTCTTGGCAATGAGGTTTCCTTTGTCTGAAACCTTATGCCATTATATTGATATGGGAATTTAGTTGAGGGAATGAACACTCCGCGTCCCCTCCAGATACAGGAGACACACAGATCCCGCTTAATCTGACAACAAAGGGTGGTAATGTACCTATTTCTGTCTGTGCTCTGTATGGTGCTGTACTAATCTCTGATTGATGATCTTACATTAAATAATTCCAAGTGAGCCGGTTATTTTGACAACCTCGAGTCATTAACTCGGACACGCAACAATCCCACGGGGCTGGAGATTCGACAGACACAGCCCAAAAAGACGCCCCCCTTCAGAGCTGGCAATCTAAGACTAAAACAAGAGACAGATGGGATCAGACAGACAGATGGGGGACGTGTCCCAGTTTGTACGCTGAGCCAACTGCTAATGAAGAGATTGTGAAATCTGCAAGAGAGGAAATTTACACACGCACACAAAAAAGCAGCAGGAAACTATTTATGAGTGATGATAATGGCATGTGGGGGTACATTTCAGGGTATAGAGGAACACCCTGCATCTTCCACCATGGAGGCAGGCTGGCAGCGGGATTTGTCTCACAGACAATCACAGCCAACCCTGGCTGTAAAATGCTGGAAGCATTTTGCAATTGCATTGCTGCACAACACACGAAAGAATCTAGTTCTGTAAGTCTAGGTTCAGGGCTCTGATTGTACTTGAGGTGTAGTTTTCCCCAATACTTCTCCTTGCTATCACTTAAACTTCTAGACTTCATTAAATAAACATTTACTTGTTTTCACTCTAAACACGTCTAAGTGCTGTGTTAGGCGGATCGGTGATGGGAGGTGTAACTGTTAAGCTGGAATATCTGTGAATCAGAGTACTGAGAGCATCTAATGGAACAGGGGCTGGATTCTCCAGGGAGACTCTCAGAGGGCTCAGCGGTTTGAGTGTGTCTATCGCTTCCCTGTTGAGAATATTTTGAAGTGCTGCAAAATCCACATGCAGACTCTGACGTGGTCTGCTCTTGAAAGTTTTGCCAGGATAGCGCGATTGTTTAGGGCTGTGAAAAATCACTTTCCTTCCTGCTCCCTTCCCTTGCAAATCCAACACAGTTCTGCTGGCAAAAGTTCGAGTGTAGTCAGAATTAGAGTGGCAAAACGTCCACTACAAAAAATGAAGCAAACTAAATGCCCAGAAACTACTTTACTGCAGAGCTAAGGGCGCCCAGGACTGTCTCCTGCCTTTCACCATATGGACGGCGGCTAAACTTAAACCTCTGCAAACCAGAAAACCAAGTTAATGTACACGCCACCCCTACAATGCAACTTTTACTGTGCTCACACCTCCAACCCTGCAGCTGGCAAGAGCCACTGGGAATGCAATGGTGAACAAACTACCACAGGAACCGGAGAATTCTCCATCTGTTGAAGTCTTCACGTCAAGACCGGATGCCTTTCCGAATAGGATTTAGTCAAACACAAGGTGTTCAGCTTAGGATGGCAGTAACTGGATGAAATTCCATTGCCAGTGTTATTGTAACATTCCATACCTTGGGGGAGCGCCCTGTACCCCCCATATTCCTCATTTATATATAATTGTGATCTTGCACAGAAAGCCTGCCTCTTAAGGTATCCGGGGAAAGGTTATGATCTGCTGAAAGCCATTGGTCTATCTAAATAGGTATGTCATTAGTGCATATGAAGTTATGAGAATTGTGTTGTAGGGTTGTCACTAAAACATGCTGTGGGTTTGGGAAGTGCCCAAATACTAGCTCTCCAGAGACAATGATAAGGGAGGTAACCAACACCCAGGTGGGTGCTGAACAGACATCACCAACCATTGTCCAGCAAGGGAGCTACAATGCAATGACTCACCTGCATGAGGCCACACCAGGGGAATTGCTCAACCTCGCCTGGTGACTCAACAAGGCCCCCCAGACATGCCTGGACGTGTGTTCTCCAAGCACACGGGACTAAGGGTATAAAACAGAACACGGGGGCCCCAGGCTTGGCCTGTCTCCTGCCCCCACCTGTGCTGAAAACAACAAGGACACTGAAGACTTGAGACGCCAACAGAAGATACTGGCCCAGATTTCAAGGGTGAACTCTGTATATTAAGGACTGCAATATCCGGGGGGGGGCGGAGGGGGGCGAGAAAAACTGCTGCAGCTACACGTTGCCCAGTCTAATAGGGTAGAGAGTTTCGATGGCGTGCTTATCTTTTATTTTATTTGGGTAACTGACTTTTTGCCTATCATTTATAATCAGCTAAAAATCAATCTTTTATAGCCAATACATTTGTTTAACTGTTTATCTTTACCAGTGAGTTTGCCTGAAGCGCCTGGTAATTCTGCTCAGGTTTTACAAAACAGTGCAAGGTGGTATATTCCTGAGGTACAAGGTTGGGAGCTGGGGGGATTTGGCTGGTGCCTTTCTCTGTGTGATTTGTGAGTGGCTCTGGGAGCATTCATGCAATCTAGCTGGGTGTGGGGTCTCCACATGCGGTTGTGCTGAGTGATCACAGCGCCTGGAGGGGTTGCTGCTGGTCACTCGTGAGGCATTGTGAGAGACAGCCCAGGCTGGAGAGTTAAGGGGGCAAAGCGGTCGCACAGTGCCAGGCTGCACCCCGGGGGTCCCGTCTCAGTTATACAGGAGATCAGACTAGATAAGCTAAGCCAGCCCTTCTGGCCTTACAAATCTATAATAGATATGAGGAAGGACTAAGAATGTGGCATTGTTTGCGTTGTGCTCCACAGACCGGAACACCAGCATTTATCCGCATGCCCTCCAGTTGTGTGCCCTGGGTCAGCTGTAGCTGTAATCGGATGGTGGAGGGAGCAGTTGGAGCAGCCTGGCAGAGCTGTGACCGTGGTATGCAGAGAGGTGCAGGTGAACCCCGTGGGACCGAGTCTGCCCCATTTCAATGCTCAGTGTTGTAGGATGTGTCACTAAAGGCGCACAAAGGGGAGTTCTTGCGCGGAGGATTGTCAGCAGTCTGGTGGGATACACACTAGTGGTCTCCAGGGCTCAGTGTGGGGCAAGTGCAGGTAACGACTCAGAAGAAATCCTCAGTGGATTTCTTCTGAAGTGGAGCAGTGGAGCAGTGGAGCAGGATCAGTGTTTGAGTGAAGTCCGGGGGTAAGAAGTTTCTTTTCTTTATGCAGGACCCAAACCCCAGTTTTACCTTAGCAAAGAGAAAATATGTGACATTGTGCTGTACTGCTCCTGTGCTCTGTTCCTAAAGTGTCATGTAGCAGGGGAGGGCAGAGTGTTAGTGTGTGTGTCACTGGCATGTTGGGGTGATGCTAAAACAGGGCAGAGTACAAGTTGCATTGTAGGGGTGATATTTCGTCATTTCCCCTTCTAAGAACCGAGGGGACGGGAATCCTTACCCAGCGAGGTCACATTCTCATAGTTCTCCTGCATGACGTCCCTCTCTTCCCTGGTGAAATACACAGCCACCTCCTCGAAGGTCACCGGTCCCTGAAAGAGCAAGAGCCCAACACTCAGTACCTGCTGCCCCATTCACAGCCCCATTATTCGTGGGGGAAGAGGAACCCATCAAATGGAAGCTCTGGGAGGCTCACAGTCAACACAGTCCTATCCCCATCCGGCTCTCTGCTTTCCCATCCAGGAAACACCAGGGTGAGGGGACAGAGAGAGCCCCTTGTCTCTCCCAGCAGATCCATCACACACCTACTAGCCACAGACTGATACAGGAGGTGGAGCCCCTAGCAGGGTGCAGGGAGAGCTCTGGGGAAGGAAGCCCAACACGCTCCTTGTTGTGAGGAGCTGGATATGAGAGGAGAGAGATGTCCCCTAAGCCTCACTGGTGGGTGCCCCCTTCATATTTCACAGCAGCCGCTGGTTAGTTGGCTCAGGCTCCAGCACTGGGAGTCTGGTGAGTTTTCCGTGCCTGTGATGAGATCTATCTACTCCACATTGGCCATGCTGGGGTTAGCTGTGCGTTGCAGGCTGAGGAAACCACGCCCCGCTGTCCTGCAAGGCATGCCCAGCCTGGAGACAGGATATAAAGGAAAGCAGCCGAGCTTTGTCGGGCTGGACTGCCCAGGAGGAAGGATGCATATTGCGAGCTTCTCTCCAGGGATCTGTGGGACCCCCTGTCCACAGAGGCCAGGCACACCAAATCCCAGGCGGACACGGGACAATTTGCAGTGACCCAGGAAGGGACTGAGACGGGTAGGAAGTGGCCCAGGGGAAATAGACCCTGAAGTCCAAGTCATAGGACCAAGAAATCGGTCAGCGTGTTGCAGCTGGATCCCCGCTGACACACACCACTGTTCAGTCCCTGGGCTGGGACCCGGAGGAGCAGGGTGGGCCCGGGTCTCCCTACCTCCTACGGCTAACCCCACACAGGGGTGGCAGCTCCCCAACCGCTAGATCACGCTCTCCTGTTTTCTGGGTTAGGCCATCAGGGAGACTCTGGCAGCTGAGACGTAAGCTCCCCGCTGACTCTACATGACCAGACACCCCTTCACCAGGTGTATCTACCCCACGACACAGCCCTATGTAGGTGGGTTGTTTCCCCTTCCACAAAGTAGGGCATTTCTACTTCTGAACCCTCATGGGTCTGTTCCTAGAATCTAGGCCACTTATTAAATGAGTCCTCGCAGGTTTGCCACCCCCGTCCTCCTCCCTTTCTCCACCCCGTGTATTCCCACGGGAGGTCGGGAAAAGGGCGTTCAGGGCCCACGAAAACAGAAGGAATGTTTGGACAGCTGACCTTGGGGTTCGGTGTCTCTGCCACGTACATTTTATTGCTGTTATCAGCAAAGCGTTTCTACTCATAAGAAGAATGGTCATTGGCGGTGGCTAGGGAAATGGTTCGCCTGGTAGGGGTGGTTCTGAGTTATGTGATTTGTATGGAGAACATTTATAAAACGGTGATTTTGACAGCGTGCAGTCCGAGGAAGCTTTCTTTGGGCAAGGATCTGCCACCTCAGCTCCCCAGCAGCTAGACGGAAGGAGGCTTTAGTTCATTTCACAGCACGATACCCCCAGGCCCTTTCCCTGCAGACAGACACCCCAGATTCCCATGCTGGAAAATTGCTTGATCTCTTTGTTACAGTGTAGACCTGGCCCCACCTGCCAGTCTAAGCTCACAGAGACATTTCTAAGTCTTTCCAGTGACAAAGTCTTTATTAGAAAAGAGCAGAACCAAAGGAATGACTTGGGGAGATTCCCGCTGACACTGACCCCAGGGCAGCCACACCCCAGCTGGGGGGGATATGGAGTCAAGAACTGGCTTTTCCTCTCTCGCATCCTCATCTTGTCCACAGCAAAGTGACACTGCCCAGGGATGCTGCAATACATGTGTCTGGGCAGATCAGAGATCTGGAAATCTCTCTCCCCACTTCCTTCTCCCGCTTCCCTTTCAGTCTCTATTTCCCCTTCTATCTCCTTTGCCCGGTCCCCTCTCCCTGCCCCTCTGGCTGGGAAAGCCCCATTCCTGGGTTCTTTGCTCCCCCATGGGTGGATTTTCTCCTGACAATTGCTGATGGGAGGAGAAACGAGGAGAGAGTCACTTTCATGCCAGACCCCAGCACTTTCCCTGGAGTCTCTGGCTCAGAATTTAGTATTTACAGGGCCTAGGGCTGCCCTAGGGGGCTAGTACCAGCTGGAGAAAGGACTCACCTTGATGGGCAGAGAAGAAGCTTTAATTAAGGTCACTTCCTCGCAGACCCCCATGGAGGAGCAACGGCTGCTAAGCCTGGTCTCCCAGATCACAATGGAGGCTGCAGCGTCTGACCCAGGAAGCCAAACCCCAATATCCTGAGCAGAGGGGGACAGAGCGTTTGAGCAGCTTCCCTCCTTTAGCAACAACCAGAGCTCTCTGGGGGGAGCAGCTAATGAACCCACCTCCCCATGGGGACAGGTGCTGATCTCATTTGCCCAACTGTTCATCTGGAGTCACTCCTTGTCTTTCCTTGCCGTGACTCCGGATTAACACTGCTCTCAATGACACCAGAAGCACAATTCAGAAAGGATGAGGCCAGAATCCTCTTCAGCAGATCACTGTGTGGGACTCCTAACCCTCTTCCCACCTCCCTCCCCCCCAGATCTAGGACAAGGACTCAGGGCAAGGATTCAGGGGGCCTGGGGTCTTTGGCGGCGGGGGGCCCCCACCGCCGAATTGCCGCCGAAGACCCGGCGCTTCGGCGGCAGGTGCCGGGGCGGAAGGACCCCCCGCCACGGGTCTTCAGGGCACTTCGGTGGTGGGTCCGGAGCGGAAGGACCCCCCGCCGCCGAAGACCTGGAGTGGAAGAAGCTCCGGGGGCCTGGGCGCCACGAGTTTTCCGGGATTGCCCCACTTGCCGCCCCCCCCCCGGGTGGTCCTGATTCTCCCTACAGAACATGAAGTTTCTGCAGTTGTCCAGAATTGCAGGGGAGAGGAGCAAAATCAGTGGTGGTTTCACCTCACAGTGTTTGATAAGTGGATAGAGATTTACCACCACCACCCCACCCCCGCCGGCCATTCACAGAGGCAGAGGGAGCCCTGCGGGATGCTTCTATAACAGGAGAAGGGACGGCCTGGAGGGCCAAAATAGGTAAGCCATGTCCATGCCCTGTCACTAGTAAATAATGGCCACCTGGATCCACCCCAGAGGTGGCTGCATCTTAGCACGGTGGGAAGCAACCCCTCATGGAGACCATTTGTCATGGGGTTTGGGAAACTTCTGGACCCATGCTGCACTCAGAGAGACCTCCTCATCCCGTGCCGGCTGGAGCAGAGAAAAGGGTCCAGCCAACTCTCCTGTTACCAGGTGGGGGCCACTGATCCCCAAACAGGGGGAGGCCTCTGCTTTGACGTGTATTAGAGATGTGGCTGATCTCATTCATCGGCAAACCTTTTAACAGAGATAAAGGGGGGAACAAATGACTCTCAAAAGAGAGGGGGAAAGATGATCACTGGGCAATTTAACCCCCTGCGACCTCCAGGATGGAGAACGACTCAGGGCAACAAGTTCCCCCCAAGGAAGAAGTTGTTGGGATTTAGGAACATGGGGAACAGCCCCAAAGCCGAGAGGATTTTTAACTGACATTTCATAATGACATAGACAGAGGCAAAACCTGAGATTTGAGATCAGTGTTCAGAAATGAAAGAGAAAGGGTGGAAATCTGAGGGATTTTGGATCCATTTTTGCAAATTATAGAGAGGAAAGTGGAAAATCAGAGGGACTTTATATCAGTTGTTGATATGAGGTAAAATCTGAGTGTATTTCACATCAATATTCGATAAATGAATAGCGAGGAAATGGGAGACATTTGCAAAGATTTTATAGCCATGTTCAAGAATTTGAGAAAAAGGGTAAGTCTGAGATTGTTCGTATTTTATAATTAGAGAGACAGGGAAAAATCTCAGGGCGAATTCAATAAGTAATAGAGAACTAGAGAGAAAAGGGGTAAAATTTTGGAGTATTTTATATCAATCTTTGAGATTTGCAGAAAAAAAGCAGGTCCCAAACTATGTATTTGATCACGTGAGAAGAAAAACACCAGTATCTGAGGGGATTTTATGTGGCTATTAAATAAGGGGAGGGGAAAGGGGGACAGTTTGAAGGGATTTTACGTGACTGTCCAACACATAAACAGAAAGTGACGGTTCCCCCCCTCCCGCATTCACACGGGCCGCAGGGAGCCCTGGGGGGACCAGTTTGAAGGGGGCCGGGGAGGGGGAGCTGGAAGGTCCCTGGATGAGGGAAGGGGGAAGCAGTGGGGGATGGGCAGGTGGCTGGGGGTGACTGTGTCGGCAGTT